ATAGCTTCATATCATTGTGGGGCGCACTTAATGAAACCTCAGTTTCCTGTCAACCTTCGGACAACCTTGTCACAAGGTCGTTATGTTTCTTACATGTTAGTCACATCTTCAGCACTTTTATACATGGTTGTCACTAGGTTGCTACAACTTTGCGAGGTTGTGACCTGGTTGTAACAACCTTGGGATTTTTATATAGGTCCGTTAACTTCACATGCTCAGCACACTGCTACATCTAATACTGATTAAGGCTAATCTGCTTAATTTCACCTTTTCAAGTTTTGCCACTCCAGCCATAGCCTTTATTAAATCCATTTCCCCTAGCTCCTCCCCGGCCATTCCTCTCCCCATTTCCTTTCCTCTCATTTTCTTGTCCCTTCACTTCCTCCTCCCCCTAACTCGCTCTATCCTCCTCCTTCTCCTAACTCTATTTCTTTTGGTATTCCCACAAACTTTTTGTGTTCTTAATAAACAATTTTAAGTTTAATTTCAAAACCTCCACTAAACACTTCTAGTGGTCCTGATAATATTTCCTCTTCCCTATTAAAGCAACAGCAGCTCACATCTTATCTCCCTTGCAGCATATACCGTCAATCCATCACTCTCAATACCAATTAGTCGAGTATCCTCCTATAATTACCTTGGTTTAATATTCACAAGTAAGTTGTCCTGGAAAGACCAAATATCACCTGTAATCAAGAAAGCACTGGGTCTCATTTATTGTAACTTTTACAAACATTCGTCTCCTGAGACACTTCTCCACCTTTATGTTACTCTTATTTGTCCTATTCTTGAGTATGCCTCCCCAAATTTGGGAGCCTTCTTTTCCTTCAGTGTCATCTTGGCTAGAGGAAGTTTATAAATTTGGCCTAATGCTAGCTCTTAAGTAATGGACAGTCTCATATCAACAACTGCTTTTACAGTCTCACATTCAATCTGTTTCACCCTTTGCTAGCTAAAGTTTCCTCAAATTACTACTTAAGATCTAATGATAAAGGGAATCTCTCACAAATGACTTGTAAATCATCTACTTACCAAACTTCATTTTATCTTTCTGCAATTAACCAATGGAATCATCTTCCCTCCTCTCTAAAACTCACTCTCAGTCTTATATCTTAAATTCAGAAAGACCATCACTTATAATTATGACCACTTCATTATTGTCATTACTTATTTACTCTACCTTTAGCTATGCTATTACTTATTATTTAAAAAATAATAGTTATTCACTTTATTCATGGTTTTTATTTTTTTGTTGCTTGAAATGCTGATTTAATGATTAGACTTTGAATTGGCTTTTAACTCTTTTATTTGTTGAGTAGACCTTCCTACTAATAGTGTATGTCAGCCACATACATGTACACAGCAATTATGAATGACTTTCCAGTGGCAGAAATAGATGGTCATGGATCACTGTTTGACTGTGCAAATGGCATATTCTTCAGTTGTGAATCTAAGATATAGTTCCAGTAATGGGAGGATTGCTTGAGACCATGAATGCTGCATTTTATTACTAAATTTTCTTTGCCTTTCTCTCCATACCCTTCTTTTTGCTTCATATCAACTGTTTCTTTCAGCTCTCCATTTAGAAAGTCAGTTTTGACATCTGATGCAGTTTCTAAGATTTTGTAGAATAAATCTTCATAAATACGTTGCAAACTGTACCACTTGGCAATAGATATGTAGAATTTTGCGATTTTAATTCTTGTGACTGCCGCAAAAATGAACCAGTATACGGTATCTTTATAAGGTGATTCAACCCTATTTTTCTCCAGACTACATGCCATTTGATACTATAAGCAGTAGTTTTGATTAAGTCCACCAACATTTTAAATAAATCCCCATGTGACAGAGCTACGCACCATGTAATGGCAATTCAAAAGGTACAAACAACAGTAAGTACCCCAGCATTTAGATTGTCCCAAATAGCCTTAATTGTTTGAGTACAGTTTGGACAACCCGTTGGTCACATGTTTGAATCCACTTACAGGCCATTTTATTATTCTATGTGAATTTTTTCCTGTTGATCACAATTTTTAGTCAGCCTTCACTGTGTTTTACTATAGTATGGGATTGTTTTGGCAACAAGAATTAGTGTATCATCTGTACTGCTTGAGTGCCACAGGCCTACCCTGGTGTATTGAGTACATGTTTTATTAACAGATTGACAATGCATCTTGTTAAATTTGCATTTCAACCTCATGTAGTTAATTGGGAAAGTATTATAGTTTTATTTTCTTATTACAGGAAAGAAATACTGCTCTTATTGTATCAGCAAGAGGAGGACACTATGAGATTGTAAAAGTACTGCTGGATAATGGAGCTGATCCAAACTTAGACCAAGAATTGTTTTATGTTAGTATTTTGTATGCATTGCATGTGTACCTCATACTGTATAGCCGGAAACTTTGGCGGTTTTGCATCAAAACTGTCTAAATATAATATTGGTGGTCATTTAATTTGGCGGTTGACTATCTTGTGTTTTCTTTAAGCACACTCAGCTCTTCTTGAAGCTGCTCCTTGGCAGTTCTTGCCCACAGTCTTGACTCTGACTGAAATAGTGAGAAATACTGCCATTTTTCAGTATAATGAACCCGCCCATAAAATTGCAATTATTATTGGCAGTTATATAATTGGCGGTTTTATTTTGAACTGCCAATCCGCCAAATTTAATTCTCCGCCAAATTTAATTCTCCGCCAAATTTTCCGGCTATACGGTAGTATCATTTACATGTATACTAACAATGATCAGGAATCATGATACATTTTAGCTTGTGTACTCAAGATAGCTTAAACCTTAGAAATTACAAAAACACATGGACTAAATGAGTGCAGTCCCTTCACACAACAGAAATAATACTACCAAGTTGAATTCCCCACCCAATATAAAGTTTAACCTTACAAAGAGCCACTATACAGTAATTAAAGTTTGGCTTGTGTCACTGTTTCTTGTTACTGCATGATGTTCACTTCATTAGTTCATGTCCATATTATGTGTAGTGTAATGTAACATTCTAAAACTCACTGTGTATACAAGTGCATGTACATGTACCGTATTTCCTTAAATAAAAGCCCGGGCGTCTATTTCCTAAAATGATACTTGGACATCCAAAAAATATATAAAAAATTTAAAAAACTTTGGCCCAGAGCGGGATTCGAACCCGTGGCCTCAAGCTTTTGACATCTAGAACTTCAGGCATGCCCACTAGACTACTGAGTCACTCCTAGGCTGGTGTTGCGTATTTATAGTTTAATTCTATTGCTACCCCGGCGTTTATTCGAATACGGCTTCTATTTAAGGAAATACGGTACCTTGTATATGTACACATACATCTCCATGTTGCTTTTGTGTGTTTAACTTTAACATTTGCATATTCTTACATTGTTACTATAGTTTAATTCACCACTGATTGAAGCAGCAGCAAAAGGACATTATCAAGTGGTGGAACTTTTATTAACCAAAGGAGCTGATCCAAACTTTACAAGTAAAGTGAGTTACTAACAACATGATAATACATACATGTATACAATAGCTATAAATGGTATCATAACACTTGGCATAAATCTTACATGTTTAGTATACTGGTACACCACTGACTGTAGCAGCAAAAAAGGATATCATCTTGTAGTTGAACTTTTATTATCCAAAGGAGCTAATCCATGCTGTATAGGAGGAAATTTTGGAGGAACTTAAATTTTGCAAGTTTGGCATTTTGAAAGCCATTCACCAAAACAAAAATCTGACATTTTGAGCCATTATATGCATGCTCAATAGCACA